CTAACCTAGCACCATCAGATAACTAACCTAGCACAATCATACAACTAACCTAGCACCATCATACAAGTAACCTAGCAACTACTAACCTAGTACAATCATACAACTAACCTAGCACAATCATACAACTAACTTAGCACCATCATACAACTAACCTAGCAACTACTAACCTAGCACAATCATACAATTAACCTAGCACCATGAAACAGTTAACCTAGCATGCTAGGTTATCTATATTTAATTGCAAGTTTAGTTGTCAACGGTCAACGCCGGAAGTCAACGGATTTTCACCGAAAGTCAATGTCGGAGTCAACGGTCAACGCCGGAGTCAATGGGTCAAAATAATATTTAAATAATTAAAATAATAAAAAGAAAAGATTATATCTTGGCCACACATTATGTACCAAATCTTGTTACTAGAAATGAGTCTCACGTCCTCACTTTAAGAATGTGGATGCATTGGAACCAATGCATATATATATATATATATATATATATCATAAAAGTTAATTATGACATATATATAATAGATTAACTTGATTTTACAAATTAAGTTTATGATTTAGGTTTGGACAATTAGCTTATAGATAAATGGTGTACAATAATATTAGTATTATTATTATTGTTATTATTATTATTATTATTATTATTATTATTGTTGTTGTTGTTGTTGTTATTATTAGTTATCTTGGAGAATAAGTTATGTTTTAGATATTATTATAAGATCTTGTCTTGTTGGACAAGTTAGGAATAGGGTTTATGAGCCTTATATAAAGGACTCCCTCTCTTTTGTTATCTCGAGTTGATTATTAATAAAAATATGAAGTGATTGTGTGTTCTATCGAGAGAGTATCTCGTTTTATCCTTCTCACTCGTTCGTTTTCCCTACATCATTAAATTAACGAATTAGTAATTGCGTATGTTAGTCAGAATCATCCTATTCTTAACTCTAGTTATGACGACATAAAGTTGCAACGATTGAATATTTTGGTGAATAGAGACAAATAGTAAATAATATTTGCCTATGACTTTTATTAAAAAATTCATCGAAAGCACACAATAAACTGTCTCGGTCGAAATTGAACGGCAATATATATAACATCTAAATAACTCAATAATTTCAGTTAAATGAGAACCTAATGCCGATTTTACTAATAGATTTAACATTTGCTTCAACATCAAGTTGAACTATGAATAAGTGACACACATTGCATAAGTTCGAACATTGATCCATGATCCGAATATGAAACATCAACTTAAAATTTTAAGATATGATATGGGGGTTATGACCCCATCATGTCAGTGTCCATTGTATTATTTGTCCTCATAATTATACTTCTAATCATATTGTGTTTGTATTTAGTTTTGTATAGTGACACCCTTGATTATTATTTTCACCGAGCTGATTTGTATCCATTTTTATGCAGTACATGATGCCCCTACCATTTATAAGCATATCTACTCATTTGAAATGTTGAATTTGAAATTCAAATACGCACGTAAATTACCATAACAGAGTAATGCTCTCCTACTCACGGTGGGAACATGTTAATATGCACACATTGGTAATGCTAATATGTTAAAAAAACTACATCACCAATGTGTACATACCACATAAGCGGTGGACATATTAACATGTGCCCACCGTGAGTAGGGGAGCATTACTGTACCATAATAACTATCATATATATCTAACCTTATTTCCAATATAACATGTCACATAAATTTTTATGAATGGAGCCAACCATATTACTTAAATTATATGGTATGATTTATTTGTATATAAAAAGTTGACTCCACCATGGGAGTGATTGTATATAAATTGAACATTAAAAAAAAACCAATCAAAATTCAAAATTAACTCAACTCCACTATAATTAATATTATCAATATAGTTAAATAATATCAACCAATCATTCTTACACATTACATCAACTTTAATTCACTATTCATGCGCTCACATAATTCCAACTAATAACTA